GTGTGTGTGTGTGTGTGTGTGTGTGTGTGTGTGTGTGTGTGTGTGTGTTGCAGTAACTTGTAGGTATTACAAGCATATAATATACGTATACGCCTGAATATAAACCTTAGTTAGTTATAAAAGAACTCATATTGTTCTTCCTGATTAAAGAATATGTTTTGTTGTATGTTATAGTTGTTACAAGTGATCGCGGGCACCTTCGTGCCCAGTGAAAATTTGAACGCTCGTGCTTGGCTAGCGTACAGCGAATGAGGGTGCACCAAGTTCGTAGACTTGCGTGGTTTTCCATCGTAAATAAAATGGTTAATTAATGCCTTCCTAAAGAAACCATCGACATGGGACCAGGTTTGTTCCACTCTACGATTGTTTTGCGATTTTTCCACCAAGTTTGATGAAAAACAATTGTGCCGTTTTGGCTGCCCAGAACAGACACGCAGACAGACAGACAGACACACGGCTATTCCTATAGTATATTAGATTTCACACTCAGTAGATGTATCGTTGAAGTAAATAGGAAACTCTCACTTTTTTTTGGTTTAAGTCCTATAGGGGTAAACTCCATCGTAAAACATTAATCAGTGTAAAAAAAATCATCATAATGGAATATCTGAGATTCACGGGAACGTTTTAAAGCTGCCATATGAACAAATAAAATGAATCTGACTGCAGGAACCGCCAGGGTTTAAAAACCAGTCTTACCACATCATGCTTCAAGTAAATCTTCTCCCCGCTTACATCATGTCATAGCTATTTTTTTATCTTTTTCCATCTTCATATCATTTGAAATCTCTTTTATTATTTTTCAGATTTATTTCATACATTTATGAATGAATGTAAAAAAGTAATTATGTTTTTGTGATTGTCGGTATGTGGGTGTGGGTAATGGATGTCAAAGAGGGGAATTGAAAGAGTCGAGGTTATGGCAACACTGTTTCATTACGCGAGGCGGGCGCCAGCTCCGCGGGAGGTAAACACCGGCCAGAAGCTTAACCCGGAGTCATAACACCCTTTTTAATGCGACTCAAACTCCATTATCGATTCTAAGGTGATGTAATTTTGTTTGACGTTGCATAAGGTTATGGAGTTTATTCCTAGCAAAATGTGTATAATGTGTTTCATTTATTTTTCCTCTCTTTACGATAGAAAAAAAAAACAATGAGAGGACAAATGAAAGAGACGAAGATTCAGTAAATGCAAGTGGGAAACAAGAAACTGAATTTGATTAACTTATACAACTTTAGAACTTTCATACAATTTATTTATTAATCATTTTATAAGATTTATTTATCAAACTTTATGGTCTCACGAGGGATTTACAAACATTTCTTACGACTTAAATTTGTGATAACCAGAAGGTATTCGTGGCTATACCTTATAATACCACGAGTATATATATATATATATATATATATATATATATATATATATATATATATATATATATATATATATATATATATATATATATATATATATATATATATATATATATATATATATATATATAAATAAGGGACCCACTAAATAACTATCCTACATCTAGATCCAAGGTTTTCAAAGCATTTTTAACCTTGGGCCACTGACAAATAAATTTATGTAACATATCAGTTTTGAACTGACCATCACTAAGGTTTATTGATTTTAATTCCTTAATCAAACTAGCTTCAACCAGAAGTCTTTCTGTGACACAAGATGATCTGAATACTTCTAAGCTTTTTTCCCAAGCGATGGGATGATTATTATTCCTAACATGAACGAACAGGGCACTGCTTTCAGATGCTGTTCTGATATTGTACTTATGTTGTCTGATTCTGAGCTGCGATGTTTTTCCTGTCTGTCCTACATAATTACCATTACATTTGCTACATGGAATACAATAATCACTTCCATTTACATTTAAACTTGGGCTATTTTTTATTAACATATTGGTAATGGTTGAGTCATACTTGAAAACAACATTAATATTTAGTAGTTTGAGGGACCGAACTAACTTGACAAATTCATTACGATAGGGCAGTCAAAATATTCTTAAGTGTAGGAACTTGTCTGGTTTGAGAGGAATGAAAGGATTTTTTAGCGCTTTTAAAACAACGATCAACAAACACAGAAGGGTACCCAAGTTTTTGTGCAATGGAACGAATGTGTTTCAATTCATCGTCAATAAATTCAGCGTCACAAATACGCAGACATCTTAGGAACATAGCAGAAAAAACTGACATTTTGGTAGACTCCAGGTGATTCGATAAAAAGTGAATGAAACTGTCTACCTGTGTGGGCTTTCTGTATACCTTAAATTTGTAGTTTTGGCCATTTCTCATGATAAGCATATCAAGGAATGGAAGGGATCCATTTATTTCTCTTTCAATTTTGAATGTGATACTTGGGACAATATCATAAAGCTTGTCTAAAAATTACGATGGGTCACTGTTTCTAGGCCAAGGACAAAGAACATCATCTACATATCTATACCATGGAGGAATAAAGTCCACAATATTGGGTAGTAATCTAGCCTCAAAAAACTCCATATAAATACAGGCACGAGGAGCAGAAAGACAATTACCCATGCTCATGCCAAATGTTTGCTTGTAGAACTTACCATTTGCTCTAAACACATTGTCAGTTACGCATAACTATATCAATTTGATGTAAATTCACTGTTCACTAGAGTACCTGTGAAAGACCTACTTTCATTTCTTAAAGATAAATTACAACTGTTAGATTTAACAGTTACGACTTGGATTTGGGTCCCTAACCCCATCGTAAGTCGGGGAGGAGCTGTATATAATCCTTCACTAATTATAGATCCTTTTGTGGAGGAAGTACATAGCACAGAGGTATATAATCCCTACACATAGCACAGATCATCTCTATACATGACATATACTCACCGTTTCATAATCCCTAAAATTTAGATAATCCCTAGACAGATGGCATCATAGTTTCATATAATTAACTTCAATTTATGGTCACTAAACACATGCTAAAGCCTCGTAGGAAACACACGGAGACCACGGAGACTTGCTATTGGTCGGGCTGTGTGATGTGCGAGCTGTGTGTGTTGACTCGACCGTGACAAACTATACTGTGTGTAGGTTTCCGTGTCCTAAATAATAATAATAATAATTAACGGTTTATTGAAAGAGCTTGGCAGCCAGAAGGCTGAAAATATACAGTTACATATTTGGGGAATGGGTTTCGAATTACAAATAATATACAAGCAACATAAGTGACACAAATAAGATATATAATAACTAGATGGGGAAAAGCTCAAACTACAGTTCATTTCAACATAGTGACAGTGCAAGAAGTAGTGTTTACTGGGAGTGAATACACTGGTTTATTACAAGTTATTGATAATTTTACAATGGTTGGGACTGGGCTGTTCTTATAGCGATCAGTTCGTGCACGTATGGGCTGGATGCGGTTGTGGTGTCGAACAGCAATTCTCGGGCTAGGGATCTCAGGTGGTAGTAGGAGCCGGTGTCGAGGATGGTGTAGAAGCTTCTTACCAAATTTGCAGATGAGGTCGTGATGATGGTCAGTGAGAGTCGAAAGGGTCAGTGTGTTGAGCGCTTCTTGATATGTGGAGTAGGAAGGGGAGAGAATAATCTTGCATGCCCTCTTTTGCACTTTTTCTAGGTGTTTACGTTTTGTGTGTGTGTGTGTGTGTACCAGGCTTACGTAAGGCCCATTGTTTATCTTCACATAGGAGCAACTTAATGTAGCGTCTTTATTGTTATATTTCGATGTTTATCAAGGTAAGATATTTTGTTCTCTCATTTGACTGACTTACGTTCGGTTGACTGATTTTTTACTCTCATTTGACTTTTTTACTCTATTTTGACTTTTTCACTCTCGCGTGACTGGTTTTTTATCCTCGTTTAACTGATTTTGGACTCGTTTGACTGATTTGCTATTCTCGTTTGACTATTTTCAACTTTCATTTGACTAAATTTAATTCTGATTTGACTAAATATTCTCTTTTTTTGTTTTACAGCTATAAGAGTGACGACGTCCGCTCTTTGATAAAATTTCCTATAGGTTAAATATTTTTTTGCACCAACTGTAAATCCCTTCATATATTTTAGCTCTTTGTATTCAAAATTTTCTTTTTTGTCACCAATTTCCATTTTATCTTTCCAAATTACCGCTAAATTATTCTTCTTGATAAACCTTCATGACGAGAAATTAATTTAGTTCGTGGAAACGTTTTATGACACAATATTTAAACACGGGCGTTTAGTTTATTATATATTTCACTACATTGTTCGTTTTCATTTTCACTTTCATCTTTATAAATTGAACTTTCTGGATGATATCTAATATACTTAATTCATATTCAAGTATACATATAGTCATGATCTCACTGCCACACACACACATGCTGCGGAGTTTTAACGAGGAGAGTCGACGTATTCACACAAAAAATAAATCGCGACAGTTTAAACAGACACCAGGAATTATTGTTTACAGGATGAACTTTTACTGTACTAGCGTGAGCAGCTGGAGGTAGGGTAAAAAATGGTAAGCTGCCATCATAACCATTATTGTCGTCATTGTTATCATCTTCGTAGTTCATTCTCGGGGGTGATGACCTCTTTTCTTCAGTACTCACCTTATGTTTGTTTTATCATCTTCATCCATCCATCCATCCGTCCATCCATCTACCTACCCATCCATCCATCCTTCGTTATTATCCTTCAATATTCACCATAACCAGACTTCATTAACGACCTACCTGACATAATCTACCTATTTACATCCAGGTATCCACCCCCCCCCCCCAAGTGATCAGATCCCCTATGTTACGTATCACCAGTTTCAGAATTTATGCCGTGTGTGTTTCAACACCTTCAAGAAATTCCTTTTAGAATTTATTTCCATGAGAATTAGTTACTAGATTTATATTTCGTCCTGTTTATCACTTTATTAACCACCATCTTGTTGTGTTGTGGTGATAGTGTTCGTATCCGCCGACTGACCTTGACCTCGTCTTACAGTACAACATCAAGAAGAAGGAGGAGTTCGTGCCAGAGGAACCTGCCATGCCAGACAACCCACTCATGAGGAAGAAGAAAACGCCTGAGGAACTTGCAGCTGAAGCCGAGGCCGAAGATCAGGATGAATTCACGAGTGAGTATGAGAGACGAGGAGGAGGAGGAGGAGGAGGAGGAGGAGGAGGAGGGTGACAAGGAGGAGGAGGAGGAGGAGGTGATACAGAGGAGAGGAGGAGGAGGAGGGTGACAAGGAAGAGGAGGAGGTGACAAGGAGGGACAGGTGAAAAGGAGCAACAGTAATGTGTGTCTTATACTTGAAATTATGTTCATTTTTCATGTGCACACGGACACAGGCACATACACAGTCTACACACACACACACCATCTGGGTTCGTTAGTGCAACACGCCATCACATCTCAACACGCTTACCATGAATGTACACTGTGCAACCTGCCCCCCTGCCCACACAACCTGGGAAATCCATGAAGCCTAACACCACTACACACACACACACACACACACACACGCACTTTTTGATGCACATATGGCACACACACACACACACACTAGCTATACTGGGTATGTTTTTATTTACCGAGTATCTGATAGAATAAGTCTCATTGGATTTACCAGAATGAAGAATATATAAAAGGATTGATGTGGTGCATATATGAGAGAGAGAGAGAGAGAGAGAGAGAGAGAGAGAGAGAGAGAGAGAGAGATGTGTGTGAATAATTCCAACAAAATGTGACCCCCAAAACGTGACTGCTCGCTGTAAAATCCAAGAGGCCATAACTTTCATCATTATTGACTGGATAGAAATACTGTTTATTGACCTCACCTTAGGCCCTGATGTGATATGTTTACTTACCCCAAACTTGATTCATATGTCTTACTTTTTTGGAGGATTGGGTTCACACACACACACGCATACAGTCACGCATACACACAGTCATGCAGCCACATACAGTCACGCATACACACAGTCACGCAGCCACATACAGTCACGCATACACATTTACACACACACACGCATACAGTCACGCATACACAGTCACGCATACACACAGTCACGCAGCCACATACAGTCACTCACACACACACACACACACACACACACACACCGTCTCTAATCATTAACAAGATTCATCACTCAAGGATGTAACTATTGTCCAGCCTTTACACTGTGTCCATTAGATATGTCTCTTAGCTCGTCCTCCAGGAATAATACATGAGAACGACGTCGATATATCTCTCAGTAACAACCAAACAATACTTGATCAATATAAAGTATAATTAGAGATAACTCGTCGATATTTTTCCCAGGAAACTTCACCCGATATCTTTACCAGAAACGTAATCATCGTCGTCTGTCCTGGAAGAAGAAAATTCAGGGTTTTATTTTTTTCACCCCCTGACTGTACTTTGTTATTCTCGCGCGAAATTTACATATTGGTGTACTGTACTATGATGTATATACTGTACAAGGTGTTAGAATAAATAGTTTACTTCTTACCTGTCACAGCGGAGTATATAATGATTGTAAGAAAGAGTTAAAGTATAGTTATATTCATACACTGTGGCCTGTTATCAAATAGTGACTCTTGGTTGTCAGGTCATACAAAATTCTGCTTATCTTATAGTCTTTGATAAAACTTGCAGTGTTAACAAGTGGGTTTGTTTGTTGACCCTTGTAACTGACTGGTAGCGAGAGGGAGGTTAGTTTCACGGATTTTCACCTACAAGCTTTTACACGTGGTAATAAACAAACACACGTATAGTAACTAACAAGCGCACACACACACACACACACACACACACACACACATAAAACATGCGTACAGTAGCCTCGCCCTCACCCGGTTCGTGGATAGTAGCAGTGAGTCATGACAACAACAATACTGCCAGTCCCACAGTGGCAATATTAATACTGACAGTCACTATAGCAGTATTGAATCAACACTCACTTAATACCTAATACTGGCCACACTGTCACTACCATCATTTATGTCACTAATACTATTACCATCACCTGCTACTACCACCATAACCACTCTCACTGTTATCAGAAAGTAGGTGGTAGCCGGTTGTGGTCGTGATGGTAGCCGGTCATGGTAGTAGCCGGTAGTCGGTGGTGAGAGTGAGGTAGCCAGTGGTAGTGGTTGTAGCTGGTGGTGACGATGGCAGTGGAGAGAGAGAGAGAGAGAGAGAGAGGTTATGTTAAGGTAAGAAACAACTCGCAAGACTTAATTGGTAGTCTCTTCTCAGGTGAAATTATCAGTGGAATAATGTCTCACAACGACCACCCCCACAACTAATCTCTCTCTCTCTCTCTCTCTCTCTCTCTCTCTCTCTCTCTCTCTCACACACACACACACACCAGACTTTGTTGAGATTAAGTCCTTTATATAAATTCAGGTTTGGGTATTAGAATCTGGCAACTGGCTATCATCACTCTACCACCTCCGCCTACTACCACTAACTACCACTGCTACCACAAACATTGAACAGTGATCGGGCGTTCCCTTCCTCCCTACAGTAACATAAACGCTATACCAGTGGTTCTCAACCTTGTTTGCCCCATGCACCCCTTTCACCATATGTCAGAATGTCATTCCCCCCTCCTTTCCAAGATTGTCTGCCTCAAAAAATGCATTCCAAATAATATGCATATAATACTGAAAATCCTTTATTTTTTCCATATTAGTACATATACATTTACAATTTTACATGGATTATTTTTATAGTGGAGTTTTACAAATTAAATGCCAATTGAAAATGTTGATGGATTTATAAAACTTGAATAAAAGTAAAATAGTTTTTTTTTATTTATAATGAATTACTTAACAGACCAAACTGAAGCATAATGCAATAAACAAAAAGTTCAATAGAATACCAGGATATTGTAAATTTGTAATTAATTTTATTCAGATGAAGATTACAGTCAATGAGAAACCTGTGATTGTTTTTTCTTCGCCAATTCTGGGATACGCGGAGGAGTGCTTGAAAGGGAAAAACATCTGTTATAGCCAGTGAACAGATATTACTACGATAGATCTTACTGTGTACAATAGATCGTCATGACTCGGTACAATAGATGTTTAGCACTCCATCACCTCCTACACAGTCTAATTGGTTCTCAACAGTCAATACAATGGATCTCAACTTACCCCTGTTCCTCCTGTAGACCGTCAGCGTGTAACAGTCAGGTCATTAGATCACTCTTCGCCCGGTCTTCAACACATAACTAACCGTCCACAACGAGTCTGCCAACCTCGCAATGCAATTAATCCGAAGCTGTCTGAGGTCTCTGGCAGACAGGTCCTCTCCAGTCTGCCCGATAATCTGGCCAGTCCTCTAGATCTGCCAACCTGCTCAGATTAATCACGGCCTCACGATGCCACTCGGCTAATTATGTAATGATTGATGTGATATCTGGTATTATACAGCAGTGACTGGTTAATAGGAACTCTACATTCACCCCCTGGTTAATAGGAACTCTACATTCACCCCCTGGTTAATAGAACTCTACATTCACCTAATGGTTAATAGGAACTCTACATTCACCTCCTGGTTAATAGGAACTCTACATTCACCCCCTGGTTAATAGGAACTCTACATTCACCCCCTGGTTAATAGGAACTCTACATTCACCTCCTGGTTAATAGGAACTCTACATTCACCCCCTGGTTAATAGGAACTCTACATTCACCCCCTGGTAAATAGGAACTCTACATTGACTCCCTGGTTAATAGGAACTCTACATTCACCTCCTGGTTAATAGGAACTCTACATTCACCCCCTGGTTAATAGGAACTCTACATTCACCCCCTGGTTAATAGGAACTCTACATTCACCCCCTGGTTAATAGGAACTCTACATTCACCCCCTGGTTAATAGGAACTCTACATTCACCTCCTGGTTAATAGGAACTCTACATTCACCCCCTGGTTAATAGGAACTCTACATTCACCCCCACGCAAAGGAGAATCTCTCTCTCTCTCTCTCTCTCTCGGTCGACATTCTTAACTTGTCTGTACTCAATCAGGATCTCCCTAATAGTTACCCTTACCCGAAGAGGACCACTATACTAGTCCTCGCTCAAGTAAGACCTCTAATCGTCATTACTCCTTGTTCGAGCTGGACCTCTTGCCCAGTTCCCTTTTAAGTAGGACCTTTAAAGTATTCCTCGATCAAGCTGGACGTGTTCACCCACGCCCACTCTCGAGAAACAATTTCAGGTTTACATCCATTATCGGGTCCTGACTTCCGGAGCTCTGACTTATCGCCCGACTCAGACAAATGGTCAAAACAGGTCATTAATTCTAACTAATTCCGTGAAATATATATGTGTGTGTTACTCCTACCCCTTCCCTCTCCCTCCCCACCCCATCCCTCCCTACCTCTTCCCTCCCACTCCCTACCCTTTCCCTCTCCCTCCCTACCCTTTCCCTACCCCTTCCCTCCCACTCCCTACCCCTCCCCTCCCTCCCCCCCTCCCTACACCTTCCTCCCTTCCCTGCTCTTTCCCCCCTCCCGACCCCTCCCCTCCCCCCCTTCCCTCCCTCCCCTTCCTCCTCCCCTACCCTTTCCTTCCTCCCTCCCCTACACCTTTCCTCTTCCTGTCCTCACCTTCCATTCTATTCTCTCTCCTTTCCTCCTCCCCCCTCCCCCCCTCCTCCTCTACTTACAGTCCCTCTCTTCTCTTGCTTGATGGGACTCGTCCGTAGCTCTTATTGTAGACCTTTTATGTGTTGATTGGGTATAAATTTACTGCTCTCTCTCTCTCTCTCTCTCTCTCTCTCTCTCTCTCTCTCTCTCTCTCTCTCTCTCTCTTTCTTTATTTATTTATCGCATTTCCACATTCCATTCCTATCGATTTTGTTCTTGGTGTAATGGCCTCTCTTTCTCTTCCTTGTGTGTATTCAGTTTATTCTTTCTCCTCTTTCCTTTTCATGAGCTTTCTTTATCATTTATCAATTTCCTTATTGTTCTGTTTTCATTCCGTTATTGTCTTATTCCTCGATTATCACTTATTGCCATATCTAACCTTCTTTAATCTCTCTTTATCTCTTCTGGTATCATTCCCTATCACAATCTTCTGCCCTTCAATGGTTTTCATTGCTTTGCCTCCTCTTACTTCTCTTCTTCTTGTTCTATTTCATTCTATACTATTTTTCATTTTACCCACATCCTTCTTTCTTTCAACTCCTTCTCCTCCTCCTCCTCCTCCTCCTCCTCCTCCTCTATGAATCTTTCCTTTCATTCACTCATCCTGCTCTTTTGTAGTCCTCCTCCTCCTCCTCCTCCTCCTCCTCCTCCTCCTCCTCCTCTCCTCCTCCTCCTCCTCCTCCTCCTCCTCCTCCTCCTCCTCCTCTCCATCTTACATGCAATTCCACTAACTCTCAAGAAACTTCGTCCCTCAACTAAGGAAGAATGTAACTCGTGTTTAAGTAGTGACCTCGCGAGTGACGTGACGAGCAAGCAAACAGCTCCTTGAGTCGGCGACACTGCAGCGCCTTAGGGATTCTTACCTTAGATTATTCCCTTTACTGGTGATAGTCGGCGTTTAAGTGTCTCAGTTAAGCTTTTACAGAGAGATGATCACTTAAAAGTGTTCTGTTTACGCTTGAGTTTTATAGAGGATTTTTGGGAGGGGGGGATCTTTTTTTATAGGGAGAAAAAATCATTGAATATTTTTGGAGAGGAAATTCAGACACAGGTATTCTATTTCTAGCTCTTGTTAACCCTTCAACACCTGTGCGCCTCTCCCTCACTAAGGCTTTTACCACCTGCCGCCACCAGCCTAGTACTCACCACCTGCCTAGTCCCACCATCTGCTCCACCACCTCTCACTGATTTACAGAACCTTTCGGCTCTTATACTAGCTGTTACCACCTGGCATCCCCTTACCGTCTGCCAACCCACACCTCGTGCCACCACCTGCTACTACCTGCTATCCCTCGCAGCCTGCTGCCACCTACCAATACTAACCACGAACCACCACTCGTCATTAACTTTCAGCCCTCACCATCTATCATCCACTAACCATCACCTGCCACCAACTTCCAGCACGCACCACTTTCTACCATCTGCCACACCTGCCACTCCTCCCCCATTTACCACCACCTGCCACTACATGCAATCTTTCATTGCTTGTCAAACCTTAGCCCTTGCCACCACCTACCAATCTCCCCACCACCAACCAGTCCTCCCCACCACCTACCAATCCCCACCACCAACCAGTCCCCCCACCACCTACCAATCTCCCCCACCACCAATCAGTCCCTCCCCACCACCTACCGATCCCCACCACCAACCAGTCCCCACCACCACCAACCAGTCCCCCACCACCACCAACCAGTCCCCCCACCACCACCAACCGGTCCCCCCACCACCAACCAGTCCCCACCACCAATCAGTCCCCCAACCATCTGACTAAACTCTCAGCCCTCACCATCTGTCAGCACTTACTCTCTGCATCACGTCACCATCTACATTAGGCTGTGAGCGAGCTATCAGTGACTCGTGTACACGGTCATAAAAGGTTCTGCCTCACTTACTATTAAAAAAACCCGAGATCGCGAATGGATTGAGTCAATACACACTGAGGATATGAAGCGAGAAATCTTAAATGATATTTGTCGTAAAAATATTAAAAAAAGGTTCATAGATACATAGACCATGACCTATAGACGAGTGAAATATTTGACCAAGAAGGATAAAATGGTCAGGTCGTTTGTCATTTCTTGAGTTTCTCCTATATAGAAATGGAGAGGAGGCCAAGGTTGAATACTGAATTAAAGTGCATGTTCGAATGTGGTGTCTATGGTGGCTACACACACACACACACACACACACACACACACACACACACACACACACACTGTTATCCATATACAATAATAAAATAAAGTCAACCAGACATTTCAACGAGACTACTAAGTCAATTTGCCTATAAGCTTTAACAAAGGCCCAGACTTAATATAAACTAATAGTCTGCATTATGTGTGGTTTTTATGTAAGGCGAACGAGCCCGAGCGATTGAACCACTGTGTGGCGGGAATGAGCGTGTGCTTGAGTGCTGCCACCTGGCGGTGTGAATGAAAGTGGATATCTGAGTAGTTAAATGGCATAGCAGGAGGTTTTGTGACCCTGTGAGACAGATTGTTTCCTAATGCACCACTGTACAGAGTGTGAGACAGATTGTTTCCTAATGCACCACTGTACAGAGTGTGAGACAGATTGTTTCCTGCTTCACCACTGTGCACTGTGTACAGACCTCTCCCAGTAAACTGAATCTGTGAAGACTGTGTTTCCTTGAGCCGTCAGGAACCAAGTAGAACTTGAACACATCATAGCAATCTTACAGGAGAGTCGTCACAGGCTGCTTTAAAATTTTCGACACGCTTTTGTCATGGTTAAGATATTAGTGCCAGAGTAACTCCCGATCAACCGGACTAATTAGGGAAGAGTCATACGGAGTTACAATGAGGTCCAAATTATATGCTTATATACATGACAAATTATGGATTCAATTATAGTGATAATTATAGTGTTTTTTTTCCTCATTTGGCCGGATAAGGTTCGGTTTATCCAGTGTTCTCATTTACCAGAGCTCACTGTAACATAATTACTTACCGCACCAAGTTCAAAACAGCTTTTAAATTGGCCCCAGGCTCTTAACTCCAGCCAATCACAGGGCAGCTTAAGTTCAGCTATAAGTTAAATTTAAAAATATCTTAAGGTGAAATACTTTTACGTATTGTTAACCTTTCAACCACAGTTTAGTGATCATCAACCGTGTCATGCAACGTTAGTGCTACATGCTATAAGCCACTCCTATATTTCAACAGATATTAGTGACCGGTTAATTTCTTCATATTTTTGTTATAAGATATACTAATTTATTCCCTGTTTATTGAATATCGTTTATCCTTTTCACTCCGGGGATAAATTTTTGTAAACATTATAATATTTTCACGGAGTATTTTTTCATTGTTCTAGTTTTTTTTTCTCCAACTTTCTCTCTTTATTTTCTGAATACAAATCAATCCTTTCGCTAACTTTTATATATATAGTTTCTCAAAAATAACATCCTGTCTGTTGTTCATGTATCACTCCAGTTGTTTACCCACAGTCCACCTGTTTAATTTTTTAATACGAAGAAATATTACTAAAGAGTATTATTCTTTCTTATCATTTACAAATATTTAAATCTTTCTTTTCTTATATATATTCGTAGAAAGATATTCACTTTCTCCAGTGTAATACTCCATTAAATGTAATACTTTCTATGGAATATACTACTTTCCCCTGGAGTTTAATACTTTCTTTGGCGTATTTAATTCAGTCTCGGGAAATTTTTGAGAATGTAGAAGAAAGTTGACTGATGAGAGAGAGAGAGAGAGATAAAAAACCTTGTAAATATATCAAGATAATTCACAACCTACATGCAAAGTTCCCTAAACATAAGAAGGTCTCAGTCCACACGTTCATCCCCTAAGACCTTCCCTTAGTGCCTCACATAACAGGGTTTGGTGGTGAAGGTGAAGAAGTAGTAGGAGGTGGAGGTGGTGGAACCCGCATTGACTATCATCACAACCATTGCAGTTCCCATTACCATCGCCACCATAATAAACACCACCATTAACAATAATCATAAACACCATCACTACCAATTATATTTACCTCTGTTACCATCAGTTACCACATCATCATCACTGTTACCATACATTATTACACATAAATACTGTCTAGTTTTACAATAGTTCCTTACAGATATATATACATCAAAATAATCCCACACTGAAAGACCTTCTCACCCACGTCAAAATAATAACCTACTATGACTGTCCTGGGAAGTATTTTTGGGGGTTCAGAATATCTCAACACTGCTGTTAGATAATGCTTACTTGACCATCATTAATAAGTATTTGTAGGATGTGAAAATAGAGGATTGTCAATTAATTTAGATTACAAAATAAAACAAAACCTTGGAAAAGTAACAAAATTAATTATTTTTCACACAATGTAATCATCGTGTTAATATTTGAAGACTTTTAAGCTAAAATCTACGAATAATTCCAAGTTAATGATCATATTGTAATATAATTTCCTCCATTTCAGAGTTGAAAAACACCATAGAAACACAAATTAATGAAGTGAAACAGCAAATAGAAGGTGAGTGAGTCCTGAAACACAGTTGTTCTTATGGCTATAATAATATCTCATGTGTTGCTAATGTTCACATAGTGTCATCACATGTCATTGTGCTCTATTAATTTTAACACTCATGTTATTTTTTGTCATTTGTTAGAAAAAGTGTCCACAGCTACGGATGGTGAGTCAACCGTAAACTTTGGCAGATTAAAATATTAACAGTGTAAAGTTGTGTAAGCTTCTCAAGTATAAGGCTTTACAAGATATAGGTATACAGCGCACTGTAGAGTACTGGACGCTTTAATTATATTGTAGTTATATATATATATATATATATATATATATATATATATATATATATATATATATATATATATATATATATATATATATATATATATACTGTATGTGTATATCGTAAAAGTATAAGTACTTCAAAGCACTACTGCAAATGCCTCTTAATACTGTACAGTATATTAAAATTGTATTCATCAAAGTGGGTGATGTAGATAGTGGATCCTGAACCTCACAGTAAAGCCTGAAATATCTAGTGAGATTAAATTGCTGATTATAATGATAGGAGTACAGTATTCAGTGCTTCTCTCACCTCATAGTAATCAAACAGTCATCTGCTTATTAATAATGCTGACAGTGCTGGAGGCATAAGTGGGGGCTTCAGTTTAGTGTTGCAGAAGATATATTGACGCTTTACTAGGGAGTTAATAATACGCGTCACACTAATGATCATCTATTATATCATGAGTCACCGTAGTGCATAGTTCCTGTAACCACTTTAGTGTCATTCTTCTTATTTAGGCCAGACAAGACACAGGAGGCTAGCACAGTAATTGTTTAGTTATTTTGTATATAATAATGATATAGATGACAGTACAGTAATAACTCGCTGTGAGATAGTACAGTACAGTTCTCGTGTACTACCACCACCACCACCGTCTTATAACTTACCCAGCAGAAGTAGCTATTTATAGGGAATTTATATGTTGTATGTGAATAATTTTAACAACTGTAATTATCTATATTTCTATATTATGGTATAGGTTAATGCACAATATCAGGTTATAAATATATATCACACTATTAAAATTTGAGAATTAAATTTACTTGTCAGTGGAATTTTTTCTTGGGAGCTGAGCTGTACAGAAACACTTTCAAAATGTCCTCAGTCCTTTTGCTTTAAGTGATATGAATAATTTACTGTATATAATTTTTTGTGCATCATTTTGTTCTGTTAGTGAATGGTTGGACAAGTAATTTTGACATCTAAAACATTTAAATGCAAACTGAATATTTTTCATAAATTTTTAGATATGATTTAATAACTTATAAGTCAAGCTAGGTAATATTTATGATCATTTGACAACAGCAAAGATATAGTTGTCTATATAAAACACTATAGTAACTTCATCTGTTGTGTTTTATATTATGTAGTAAGGGATCACATAAATACATTAGTTCCTACAGAAACATAGTTCGTTTTTCATATTAATGTATAAAAATCTGAGTCACCTAACTAAACAGTAAAGAAAATCTAGATAAAAGTCTTGTAGAAGAACTTGTCTATTCTTGCTTATTATTGACTGTTATTTTAGTTGTTAATACTCCATAGTGTTATATCCTGAGTGTAGTTTGGCACGTAAATAATTCCTTGGTTATTACCCATTAATATAATACTGTATTTTTAGCTTATTAATGACCCAGAAAACATCGTCTTCCCAACACCTGATGCCCGAGTCATTACAAAAGACACTTGCTCTATACAAGTATTGTATATATAAATAATTACAATAGCGTTCTCAGCCAAAACTAAAAAGCTCTATTCAATAAAGATATAAAATCAACTACATTTCTCCAATCACAGTAAAATAATATTTTAACTGAGATTAATATCACACATCAAAATAGTTCAGTGCATTTATTTTCAAACGTAGAGAATTTTTTTTTTTGGTGTAACTGACCTCGGCTTATAACCAGCCTATCAAGAGTCACTCATATTAATATAAAATTAAACAAACAAATTACTGCATGTTCCAGGTTGACACAATATCACCACACTGAAATAATCTAATATAAATAATGCAGTAATTAAATTTTCTATCTTAAGTCAGTGTATTGTGATGACGCAACACTTTATCACAAGAATAAATTCCCCAAAAATTTTGATTATTAAACTTTACATCTTTTAAGTTGTCTCTGTTATGACCAGTGCAAGTTGTTTTAGTTGGCTTCATATCCCTCACAAAATTTTAGCTTTTATTAGAATAAATTTTTGCCGCTTGTCTTTTGTTTGATATTTTGATTGCATTTGTTTGCAAGTATTAGCAAATTACTGATGCTTCGTTTACCTCTGGAGTAAGATGGACACACAAACATAACGGTTTAGGATAAAAGCCATACTAAGCATTCCTTCTGTTCTTCAAAATATTAGCAAACAAACTATAATTAAAAACAAAAATAAACACCCTCTACAGTATTAACTATAAGTCAATCTCAAAAGGTTCAGAGTTAAGATCAATAGAATAAAAAGTTGAATTTAGAGCCAAATTTGCCAGTTATTATGTAACTTTCAGTCTTCGTCTCAAATTCAGTCTTGGTTGTTGATGAGTCTTTTATAAATTTGCTAAGTAATTCCTGGATTATCAACCGTTTGGCTATATGTATAATTATTTTTATGACTGGTGTTTGAGGTGATATAATGGTGTTGGTGATCAAGCTAAGGATAGAGAGGGTTAATTATATAAATATCCTCTTTAGTCGTCTGATTTTTAAAACATGAAAATGAAAGGTTATCATTTTAATTAAGAATAATTAGTAGCATCAAGTACTTCCTCTCGATGGGAATTATTGTAATAAGAAGAAATTGACTCGATTTACCTTTTACCACATTACCGAGAATTTTACTTATATGAACCAAAATTTTCACTTATTCATCAATATTTTGTTTATAATGATACCCTGACATAGGAATACACTAACAAGAACATTTATTCCTGTGATAATATAATCTTTGACTGGAGTGGGTCTTATTTGTGATAGTTTAATATTAGTAATCATTATAGGCTTCAATCATGACATACTATATACCTGTACTGTACTGTACAGCTGTACGTTACATGCAGGTATAAGAATAATGATTCACTAGTGTCGTGTTATAACTCTGTATCAACTATCACGCTAATAAGCTCTTGTAAACTGGACAAATATGAATATGATTTTATTCTTGCCACTTCGGACAAACATTAAATAGCACAAGTAACGTAAGATTCACCAGTATGTTATACAGCGTATGTGATGTTACACCTCACCAAACCAGACGCAGTCCTTGTTTATTCTAAGATATCATTAAAATTCAAAGGATGGAAATTTTCTACCTGTATACAGTCGGCCACAAAAGTCCTGTCGCTTCTCATCCTGAACCATGAACCCCGAGATTCAGAATCGTGAATCCGAAGCAGTAGATAATTGATGCATTACACCTTTCTGCACTTGACACTCACACTTTTCAGTTTATTTTGAAGAAAGTTCAAAACTCGAAACAATTAAGTATCATTCGAATCAGTTTCATAAAAAGGAATATCAATGAAATAATACTCGAGACACGCTTGATAACAGTGAGACAAAGTGTGTCTGTACAGACATTTTATAAAAATATGTGAATCAGTAAGGCAAATATTAATAACACTGATAATATTACAAAATATACACGGTAACTATATCTAAACGGAATGCCGTACAGCGAGAAGACTTTGAGAACTTAGGGTTCGAATACAGTAAGACCCCCATATTCATATCTATGTATTTTGGTAATCTGTCGGTGTAATATCTGCAAGTCTGTCGAACTATCTGATGGAATGTCGATTTATAATGAGATGGTGTCAAAGGTTATGACGCCTTGGTATAATGGAAAATATTGGAGGTATTTTGTCCATAAATGCTTCGGGTCCACGAATCGGAATCTCGGGCTTCGTGGTTCAGGAGAAGCTATAGAACTTTAGTGGATGACTGTACGTGTAAAGTGTAACCGTCTATCATTCACAACTACCGTTAGTCATATACAGTACAGTGCGGAAATGCATATATCTGTGCATAAAGTTTATATACTTCGGTAATAGTGTCAATGCATTGCTCTCAAATTCTATATATTATTTATGAATTATTTTCCTTTATACATAAACAAGAAAATCAAAGTCAAAATACAACATAAGAATTTAATAATATGTGAAGATCCTCCTTTGAATAATGTAAAAAAGTAATTGATATAAACATCAATAAATATCCAAAATACAGTACTGAACCGATGCTACTTTATCTGGATGAAGGTTTCGAATTTGTATCTGACATCAGTTATTGCCTCCATTTTTTTTTTATCTTCTTAATCCCTTCGCTACGGGGATGGCACTTTTAATATTTTATTTAGATAATGCCAGACGATTTTCTTCTACAGAGAAGGGACCCCGTACACAGTGGTTAGTAGACTATCTCCCATAGGTTATCTTTGTATACCTGCAATTCTTACGAAGATCTGAGTCATCGATTTGAATGCTTCCCACATAGAATCCTTAACAACCAAGCTTTATGATACTTTGATACCAAGTTGTCGTAAGCTATTTGAGTTTGTTTGATGTTAATATCTGTGAACTGGGCTTTCAATGATCTAGATTGTTAAAGTAATTGCTTGTAAGTTATTTAAACATTTATAAAGATGGCCTTGTACAATCAAGATTCTTAACCTGTTTGGGTTGTGTCAGTTGTAGTATCAGATGTAGAAAAAACAAAGTTGGTGGCAGAGTTGGTGTTCATGTGGAGTCAAGACTGTAGTAGTGGGAGCTTCCATAACCATACTGCCTTTGACCCACACACACACCTAAACCTTAAGTCCAGGTTATATATCGTAGGTGATTAGCTCCCATGACCCTAGTTAATTGAATTCCTCCTCCTTCAGTGATACTAAACAATCCCGGCACATTAAAAGAAAAAAAAAATAATGACTATGTATTAAAACAAATACTGTCTCAAAAATTAAATGTTCTCTGTACCAATGAAATATTTTTAACATGATAACTTAATATTTCAAGCAGGTGGAGACATACAAGTCATCTGTACGCTACCAATAAGTACAACTCTAATTGCATATTTATTAATTTTTCTTGTGGGGGGAGGGTAAAGACTCTCATAATTAGTTCACCTTGAGGTTAAGTAATTGAGGTAATATTTTGAGATATAGAGGTTCTTTTTTTTATTCCCATATCTGTGCATAGGTGTTAGTTACCTGTGATGTAATTATCTGTCAGAATTAGGTCAGGAGAGACTGTTTACACACTAGATGACAGTGGTTCACCCTACAGTATATGACAGACTACTATACTCCATTTGTCAGTTATTCACCCTGTATGACAGTTGGCTGCACAGTAGATGACAATTTTCAGCTTCCTAGACAACAGTGGTTCACCTTCTATGACAGTCTGCTTTGCCTTACATGACACTGGTACACCTAATATGAGTCATATTAGGTCTGGCTTGCTTACATAACGACCTCATTTACCCTCTCGTGAAAGCGTTTATTCTGTGAAAATGGTTCCCTGTATGGCAGACCGGTTTGCCGATATGACAAAACAGTTCACCTATACTGTATTACAGAGCTCAACTTGTATGACAGAGTGGTTCACCTATATTACAGAGCTCTACCTGTATGACAGCAGTTCACCTGTAGTACAGAGCTCTACCTGTACGACAGAGCAGTTCAACTATATTACAGAGCTCTACCTGTATGACAGAGCAGTTCAACTATATTACAGAGCTCTACCTGTATGACAGAGCAGTTCAACTATATTACAGAGCTCTACCTGTACGACAGAGCAGTTCAACTATATTACAGAGCTCTACCTGTATGACAGAGCAGTTCAACTATATTACAGAGCTCTAACTGTATGACAGAGCAGTTCACCTATATTACAGAGCTCTACCTGTATGACAGCAGTTCACCTGTAGTACAGAGCTCTACCTGTACGACAGATCAGTTCACCTATATTACAGAGCTCTACCCGTACGACAGAGCAGTTCACCTATATTACAGAGCTCTACCTGTATGACAGCAGTTCACCTGTAGTACAGAGCTCTACCTGTACGACAGATCAGTTCACCTATATTACAGAGCTCTACCCGTACGACAGAGCAGTTCACCTATATTACAGAGCTCTACCTGTATGACAGCAGTTCACCTGTAGTACAGAGCTCTACCTGTATGACAGAGCGGTTCACCTGTATTACAGAGCTCTACCTGTACGACAGATCAGTTCACCTGTATTACAGAGCTCTACCTGTATGACAGAGCGGTTCACCTGTATTACAGAGCTCTACCTGTACGACAGATCAGTTCACCTATATTACAGAGCTCTACCTGTATGACAGCAGTTCACCTGTAGTACAGAGCTCTACCTGTATGACAGCAGTTCACCTGTATTATAGAGCTCTACCTGTCTGACAGAGCGGTTCACCTGTATTACAGAGCTCTACCTGTACGACAGATCAGTTCACTTATATTACAGAGCTCTACCTGTATGACAGCAGTTCACCTGTAGTACAGAGCTCTACCTGTATGACAGATCAGTTCACCTATATTACAGAGCTCTACCTGTATGACAGCAGTTCACCTGTATTATAGAGCTCTACCTGTCTGACAGAGCGGTTCACCTGTATTACAGAGCTCTACCTGTATGACAGTGTTTGGTTCCCTCTGTAATGCAATCTGGTTCATATAACATAACAGCTGAATACAGTCAGCTACACCCAGTATAACTTTGGCTTCACAAAGCTGTTAGATTTTCAATCTATTTGGTGGTTTGGAAGCTTCTATGACGATAGTTCACCGTGTGTCAGTGATTCACCCTCTAGGTCAGTCACTTACACCATATAAGCAGCCTCATACACCGTATATGACAGTGGCTCACCCCATATGACAGTCAGGTACACCGTATTATCAGTTTAGTATACCCTATGTGACAGTCTAGTATACCCTATGTGATAGTGTTTGACCCTGTATGACAGTCAGGTACACCCTATTAACAGTTTAGTATACCCTATTAACAGTTTAGTATACCCTATTAACAGTTTAGTATACCCTATTAACAGTTTAGTATACCCTATTAACAGTTTAGTATACCCTATTAACAGTTTAGTATACCCTATTAACAGTCTAGTATACCCTATTAACAGTCTATTATACCCTATGTTACAGTGGTTAACCCTGTATGACAGTCAGGTACACCCTATTAACAGTTTAGTATACCCTATTAACAGTCTAGTATACCCTATTAACAGTCTAGTATACCCTATGTGACAGTGGTTCACCCTGTATGACAGTCTGGTTCACCCTCCGTGTCCCACCCGTGGAACCAGACCTCCAGGGTTACCTCTGATGAATAAGAAAGCTTTAATTTGTCTATACGGAATGAGACTAACTGATTTTTATTTTGTTTCTCCCCCTTTCCTCCCCCTTCATGAAATATTAGAAAAATTTCACATTCTTAGCGGTGGTAAGTCGCAGAAGTACCTCATTTGTTTTGTCATCTAGCTCTTCTGCATAAGCTGATTGCAAAAAAAAAAATTCTACTTCTTCAGCTCTCTCTATAGCCGAAACTCAGTCAAGCTCTTGATGTACACTTGTTGTCGGGCGGGGCTGTGTGAGGGTCATGTTACCTAAGAACGGTTACTTTGTATATCTGATAATCCTTTCACATTTACTACACAGAATAAATAATAAGTTGTTTGGTCCTGTGTGCTTGTTAGTGCTTGCCTCTCACATATATTTTCTCTGGGTACTCCAGTTTCATCCTGTGCTAACATTGTGGACCGTGAAGGTCGTAACAAAGTACAGACCAACCGCCCGAAAGACTAGTAATCTGACAAATGATGGAAAGGATAAGTTGGTAATCGTTCATTAAACAGCCGTAAAATATGAGCTCCTTTGCTGACATTTTGGCGAGACTGGAAACTTTCCGAAGCACCAGACTCTGGTAAGTTATCAAATTTAACGTTCATCGAATGAACATAACTAAACTAACCTAACCTAAATCATAGAATGTTAAGGTGAAATTCAAGTTTAGATAGATTAAAAATAAAGTTGCTAGTAAATCAACAAATGTGCTTGTGATTTTACACCTGTTAAATACAAAATTACCGATAAATTAGTGAGAAAACGAGGTATAAAACACCTCTAATAGAGTAACCCCTGAAAAGAGATCAAGAAACGTTTTTTCTAGTGACGAATGGGTGAAACGTTTTCTGTGGCTGGGCATCACCTTACCAGAGAAGAAAGAAGCTAGTCTTGGAGCTTGATATAGGGTCAAATATACTTACATGATACGAACATATAAATTATTATGATAACTATTAAACTATTAAAAAAAATCTTAAAATCACAATAATGAATTGTATTTCATAGATTTTCATAAATTTACATAGAGATCTGCACGTAAACTATTAAATATATTTTATTTCTTACATTAAATGTTTAAATGGCGGCTTTGTTCAGAGAAATACAACGAACTCGCAGACGGTTTTCATATTTTGGTTACCTTAAGTGGTATATTATAAATATATGTATCCATTTTCAGTGCAAGTAATTACTGAACTAATATACGCCCTTTAGACCTTAGTTATGAAACGCAGTAATACATTCTAATTATATCAGCATTACAAATATTGATTTAAAAAACACACTAATACAAAAAACTGGGTTTCATTCCAAAAATAAATGGCTATTTATACTTCCTACTGCATTGGCTATAGATTACAAACCTAAAAAAAAATGGATATTTCCCAATTTAAATTCACTGAAGTTAGTCACCATACAATTGTAAAATGTATATTCATAAAAAAGGCTTAATAGGAGAAGTAATAGTACCAATTGGCAATGTTGTTGCTATATCAGAATGGTTAGAAGTAATGTAACACGAGTTAACTAACCTTAACACCAAGGCATATACTACACCATATCCTGGTCTCTTTACTGGGAAATATTATGTCCGGAGGCGTTGTGCTAATACGTCAATTTACCATTTCACCACTGATCAGCTTATGAGCCGTACGGGTGGTTGGTCTGTTTTTTTTTTGTTTTTTTTTTACTTTGTTGCTGTCCATTGTTAGTACAGCAACAAAGCAGGATACCCGGAGTAAACCGTTAAGTTTGGTAAGGTCACACCTCGCATCTGTCCTGGATCGGAGATTGAGTCCAGGACATAATGAGAAATATACGCGTTACCGCTGTGAAACATTATTTGAACTAATAAAACACCGACTCAAATTTGCATTATATATATATATATATATATATATATATAATGTGTGTGTAGAAGAGCCGGACGTGACCCAACACAGCTGCCCTGTATTTCGTTGGACGATATGTCTTTCCCTGCAGATCAAGTGTCAATTTGCATCAAAACTTAAGTATCATAGTATCGTGTTTAATCTATTGAGAGACTGAGTATCAGAATTCCTCACACACTCAAGTCCTACACTCAACGCTCCTCACTCAAAGACCTTCACTGGCTCTGTCGTAGTTCCATGTGAAATTTCTCTATGACCGCGTGTGGCACATATCCTACCTCACCCGCTCATGTTTTGACGTGTCCAGATTTTGCTGCGTGTGTACAGGTCTTTATTACTGTATGTTATATGTGTGTATACGTGCTCTAAATGTCTTCTCCCTACAGCAACCGCTACTTATTTTCTGATGGCTCATCTATTTATCTACCTTACGCCGCCGCTCCCTCGCGGCACTCACAGGGCATGTAGTGCTCGCTAGTTACTAAATTATAAGTTTCTCTGTCGACGTTTACCTAATAACCGTGAGAGTGCATGACTCACTTCACAATATCCAATTTGATGTTAATTAGGACTATCTTACGTTAGGATATCTGTTGCATCTACGGAAACAAAATCCTTCATACCAAGTACCCAATCATGCAGAATTCTTTCACAAATATGACATCGCATCCTGGTCTAAATTTGATTAACTTTACTTTACACAATTATGTCTATTCAGTGAAGCGAATTTTTGAAAGAATTAGTATTTATTGAGTGCTGAAAGAGTTGCTGACAAGAAGCAGGAGTAAAGATTTAGGAACACAGAGAAGGACCCAGCAATACTCACACGCCCTGTACCTCAGCTTCGTCTATCTCTCACAACAAGTAGTTACTGTCGCCAACTTCCCTCTACAACCCGTACTTTTGTGCCTCTCCCAGTGATAAAACTATGTAACTACTGTGGTGGCCTTAATGCTTCCTTAGCCCTCCCTCACTCCCTCTGATCACTCATCTCAGTCTACAGTATACTCCCCTGGCTCTCACCCCACCGAAACAACAACTAGCCTCTGTAATGGTGTATGGCCAAGTGATCTGATCTTGATGTGTTGTACGCCGCCGCTCAACCCTCAATGCTGTCTTTCGCTTTTCATGTCAATTATTCCTTTCCGATTCTTATTCCATATTATATATATATATATATATATATATATATATATATATATATATATATATATATATATATATATATATATATATATATATATATATATATATATATATATATAATTTGTTATTCATGGAAATTCTTTCAGTACAAATTTTGCATTTATTTTGTTGACTCATTTTCACATGTGATGTTATAAAAAGATTTATATGAAAAAAAAAGTAGAACACAATAAACCAATGTTTTCAGAATTAATAATAATAATAATAATAATAATAATAATAATAATAATAATAATTTATTTCTAGTGAAATTTTTACACCTAATTAATTAAGAAAGTAATTGAAGCAACTCCTTCATTAAAGACTGTCAACATGAGTAGGTCTCTTACTCTACACATGAATGTCATTTTCTTTACACTTCTCAGCACTATTCGGTATTTTGGTCACGTTTGTTTTCATTATTATTGTTTTGTAGAATTGTCTGGGTGTTATTGTATTTACATGTGTGTTCCCTACCATGAGAACTTTTAGCCTTAAGTAGTATTATCATTTTGTAAAGTTAAATACAAACTTTCACATTGAGTTTGAAGTGCAGTCAATAATGCTCCACACACACACACACACACACTCACACACACACACACACACACACACACACAAAGTTACACTTACTATATGCAAATATTAGCACACAAACACTTACCGATATAATGTGAAGACGTGTGTGCCCTACGTGCACATTGCATAATGAAACAAACATACTGTACATACACATTCAAGAGATCAAAACCTACATAATTTTTACTTCCATGAACAGTACACATCACACCAGGGCAAAGACCAAGATGACTGCGTTAGAATATCTTTATCATTAATTATTTTCTAAATTGTATTTCCCTAATGATTTATTTTTTTAGCATAAATGAGTTAATAGTATGTAGATTTTGACCATTCCACAAAATTTAAATGTCAAGATATCAGGATTTTTTTTTTTTTTTTTTTTTTTTACATTTGCAATGATGGTAGGCAGTGTACCTTGTTACCTGTTGGTGTATTTATATCATGATGAATGTATGTTGATGAGCTGATGTATAACTCAGTGTTGGACTCCCACAGGCAAGTGTGTCCTGCAGTAAAGCCCTCCCCCGGCTCACGCTGTGGACTCCCCCGCCGCTATGCAACATAAAAGGCCTACAGCCGTCTCCTGTTTAGGGCGACGCGTCATCACTGTATCTCTTTCCCTGGCAGCGGTACTCCTGTCTTCTCCTCCGGGCCATACAACAATATCAACCATCAGCATACTCTACATCGTAAACAACAAGCTATGGAAGCCAGTCAAAACAGCCTTGTAAACAAGAATACAAACTACATGAAAGCCATTCAAAACAGCTTGTAAATAAATCAAGAAAATGTAACACAGTGAAGATAGTCAGTCAGATAGCCTGTAATAACAAGTCAAGAATACAAGCTAGCAGTCATTGAAGCTAACAGCTATTTACTTCGTTCTCTGCCAACGGTGAATGGTGAAGAGGTTCCTCGTTATCTAGGACGTTATTGTCCCTTTAGGGGAAAAAGAAACATGCCGGAGATTTATCTTACTCTAGTGAATTCCTTTGAGAAATAGATAATGTACATCATGATACACGCTTTCATTTAACTGAATAATAATGCCGGTAAAAAGAGACTTTTATTTTTGTCAAGTGTAGGAATTGCACACACAAGTCCCCTCCCCTCCCTTTAAATAAATTTGCAAACGAAAATGTTTAAGACTTGTTATATGGTTAAAGCTAATTCCCCCCCCCCTTCCCTCACGTTGTAGTAGAGTCAGTAGATGATTCATGAAGACCTGAGTTGTTGCTGTTCTTCACCTGCCTTCAAGCGGAAAGTCTGTTTATAAGAGACTTTACTTGATAGAGATTTTGTATATAGCATCCCCTTTCTTACGAATGCTACCACATGATGGAGTGAGACCGTTAATAAAACAATGTACCCTTTTTCATATGGAGAGTTAAAACTCCTGACAAGTCGGTGAGGCAGATGGTAAAAAGATGTTAACTGGTAGAAGTGAAGTCTCCTGCTATCCTCACTTCAGGGGATCTCAGTTAGCGTTTCCTTGGCCAGCCAGTGTTAGAATAAACAAACTAGATACTTCCTGAAGTGGAAACTGATTAAGGTGAATAGTATGATAAAAAGAATTAATTACTGAGTATTGCTGTCGAATATACAGTCGACATCTTTTTAACCATGTTGCCTGCTCTATGCTCTTTCCTTTGGTTCATTGGACCCTGCGTGGAGTGTTTTGCGTGCGCTGCTCCTCACCCCGGAGGCCAAGACAGGCACTAGCGCGCCAGCTTCTCAGTTCAAGTTGTTACCGAGGTGTAACCCAACTTAATCGTCGATCATCGAAATCTCCGTTCGTCTAGCTTGTTTATTACCAGTGTGTTAATGAAGTTGAGGTTACGTTGTATTTATGAAATTAAGGATATGTTAAGGTCAGGGCATTTGACTGCATGTAGAAGCAAGTAGCCTATGTCCGTTTGTCATTGCTGGATTTGCACTTCTCATGTTTGGTCAATGCAGGTCTGTTATTTCAACGTTTGTTACATAAATTTCTTTGGTTTAGACATTCTGAGGGTATGACATTTTTGTTCCTAGTGTACAATACATCTGGCTCGCAATTATTTTGACTTCACAAATAAAAAATTAACATTTGATTTCCAAATGATAAACTGTTAAAATTTAAACATTAATGGAATAATTCTTGTCTTGTCGAAGATGAATGAACTTTCGAAAATGTTTATAAGAAAAAAAATGGCGGTTGTGTTGATATTATAATCAAACAATACTTAGATATAGCCATTGTTAAATTTTTTCTCATTATATATTCAGACGTAGACAAAAATGTGGTCATTCTAGAGCGTCGTCGGATGTATTGTTGACGAGTGTATTCAGAGGGAGACTTCTCAATCACTGTGTCGTTAATCAGCTGATCCATGACGCCAGAGACTGTCTATCCAATCAGCGGGCATCTCTAGTTGTCAGCGGCCAGCTACATAACGATCCCACCTGTTAGAGAATTCCTCCTCTCTAGACACTCTTATAATCGTGTCCGTGAAAGACTTAAGTCAATTGTCTCTTTATTTTCACCATGTTTCAAGACGATTTTTGTGTATTTTCTTGTTTGGATCATGTATATGTTGTGTAAATAAGACGTGTGACCTTGGCGGCTAACATGCTACTCAGATTCTCACTTGGTGGGACGGATACTACCACAAAGGTTTTCACAGATGCATAAACAACAAAGAATAACGTAAATGGCTAACATCTTCTCTTATCATGCAAAGCGAACTTAAATCCTAACCTAAAGCCTACCTCAGCTAAAAAAAAGTCTTAACATTGTCTATAATTTAAACAAACTTGTAAATTGTGACGTAAATATCTACATAATTATAAAGTCTTATTAAGCATGCCACTTGTAAGGTAAATGTACACTTAAATGTCAAGTAATTGTTTCGTAACTGAGCTAACTCGTAACATAAACCTCACGTTAAAACAAACCACAGCTATTGTCTCCGCAGATTCTACTTCACCTGTCTAGCACTTCAGATTTATCCTAAGTCTAACGCTTGCTTCAGATCAGTGTTTTGGGTGATGAAATAGGAACTGAATCTAAGAATTTTTAAAAGATAATCGTACGACTGAAATATGTCGGTAGATTTTGGACGTATCGTGACAAAAGGACCCACAGATCATATGAGGAGATTTACAATGGTGGTGACATTGCCGTGGAATATTCTTATTATTATGATGAATCGGTTGTGGCAGAAACAAATGTCACACTGATAATATAAATACTTGTTAACACTGCAAGCTGTCTGATTCCGACTTTAGGGGGTTTTCGTGTATTTCTGTATTCTCACACATAGGGCGCTTCGTACTTGGACAGCCGGCAGTGACTTTGTGAAGCAGTTGATGTGTGTGTTGTGTATATGTATATAAGTAGAAGAGAGACACCCCACCCCTATTTATAATATAGTTTTGTTCGGACTCCTGATGATCTCAAACAGTTTGACTGATAGAAATAAATGTATTTTGAGCGATTAGCAAGCAAAGGGGCCTTTTTAATTGATGTCAACTTCCTGGGGCGAATTTTCCAAAACTATACATATGCCAAGGGGAAAGTTTGCGTCAGGGAAGGATGAAATATGGCTCAAGGTAGTACAGTACACAAGATAATTGTTTTTAGGTTACAGACGATGGTGGTGGTAGATATATTTGGCGCATATTGAATCAAAGATGACGAAGCCTGGTGCCCGCCGCCACTCACTGCGCGCTGACTGGACCTGCGCAGTGAGAGGCGAACGCTGGCTTCGTCTTAACCCTGGTCTCCTGGCTTTTTGACTTCTACCCAAACAGCCCTGACTTTCTGAGGCTTATTTTGAAAACAGCTGACTTACCAAGACAGCTGATAAAGGCTGGGTTATTGACGAAGAATCAGCCCAGTAACTGGGTCTGAGGTCGTGTAGAGACCCCAGCCAGAGGACACCAGATCATTTAAGGTGTTTTATGACTCGAATATCAACAGTTACAGGACCCAGCTGTGTCCTGTAACCTGAGGCCTCTGGCTGCTGTGTCTCTACTCTGTCACCCGTTCAGAGATAACACTTTGTTATTGTGACATCTATTTTCCATGGGCCTTTTGCATGATAAATGATTGTACATTTATTAATGGAAATTTAAAAATGAATTAGTTTTTCAGTTTTCGCAATAAAAGGCGATAGGAACCTCATTATGCCTAGTGAACAGATATAACGAGGAAAAATAGCTATGATAATTCTCGATATATTAACTCAAAACACTGGCGTCTTTGACTCTCTCTTGAACATGCCATCAAATTTCTTCTAACTTAACGAGCTGGAAACCTTAATCTAACGTGGACTTACATTTAACAAAATAATGTTTTCGTGAAACATTAGATCAAGTCTTAAGTCGCAATAAGCACGTATGTGAAAACCTATGGTAGTAACCGTTCCGCGAAAATGAGAAAATAAATTTGTAGACTTTTGCTTACTGAAGCCAGAATCATACCCAAATTCCTTTTCATCTAGACAAGTTGTTCTGACCCTTGTTGTTAACTACCGTTGTTGTTGATTTGATAGCCAGATACTACTAGTCAATTATGGTTGTTAGTCATTGTAATCTGGTAGGAACTAAACGAGCTAACTTCTCTCTATATCTAATGTATCTCTCTCTCTCTCTCTCTCTCTCTCTCTCTCTCTCTCTCTCTCAGTGAGCTTTAGTCAGGGCTTAATGATCATGGGCCAGTTCCCAGTTACCAAGACATTAAAGGATTTTCCTGTTACTTACTCTCCTGTATGTGATATACAGTACTGCTAATTCAGTTTCTTGCAGATGTATGAAAGTGTCATTGTTTTTTTGTTTGTTTTTAATAATTCGTTTTAAAAATATTGGAAGAAAATGTCTTGGTGCTGTTAGTCCTCTTGAGCCCACTGTACTATTCCCTTGGTCCTTGGCAAGCCAGTCGGAAGGCATAATAAACTGGCCTGTAAGAGAATGCGGTTCTGATTGGCTGTTAATGTCACTTGAGCATAGGAACGGTATTTGTCCAGGGCGGATGTTCTTACCTGATTTATAAATATTTATGTACATGTCTTGTGGACCGTATCGTCTTAGGATCGAAACAATGATATTACTGAAGACAAGTTGATGATAAACAAAACTGTAGATGTTAAATATGTGGCACTCTCCTGGTGGCGGAAACCAGTTATTTGTAAACTCAACTCGCGCAGAGCTTCACCTAACCTTCCTAAGGAAATACCAAGGTTAACGGAGGTCGTGTGGCCACCACCGACCTCCTGCACACCAAACAATCTAAGAACACTTTTGTTAATATTTTCATTCTCTCTATCTTCCTTATGTATAAATTTATTTAAGTTTTCAAATTGGGTTTTCAAATTTAGAATGTGAAAAGAAGAGAGGCCGTGGGACCTCACACTGATCTCGGCTACAAACACAATATTGATGTATTCCAACACAAATTTTTTTAGTTTTCGGTAATAACTCTGGACAAGAACTGTCCCTGTTTTCATTTTGTTTATATTTTTTTTTATCGTGAGACTAATGATTGATAATTTATTTTACATATCATCTTCCAGGTGAACTGGCAAATAAATAAAAAAAATGAGGTAACAAAAAAATTAACAAGGAACGACCACAACGCCACCTTCAGTATCCTTCCCTAGCCTGCACTAGTCTCTACCTGCTCTCACCACTCATATCACAAATAGTAAGTCTTGAGGGTTGTTTCTACTGTCACGCTTGATGTGATGTAAAGATCTTTAACATAGGTGGGTATCCCTTTAACCTTTTATCTATTCCCTCACTGTCTCTATCCTATATGTCTGGATTTTAAGTCTTTTGAAAATCTTTGCTAATATTTAATTACACCAATTCAGCTCGTAAGCTATGTACAGACAAAAACATATCTCTCAATTATCATTTGTATTTGTCATGGCGTTTTAGCTATATATATATATATATATATATATATATATATATATATATATATATATATATATATATATATATATATATATATATATATATATATATATATATATATATGCAAAACATTTTCCCAGTGCCCACAAGAGTATGGTCAAGACTTATAAACTATGCACCGCTATTTCTTGATATACGCGTAGGTTGACCTTCTTCTATAGAGTGATTCTATATCTCTTCGTTATTCTGTCAGTGTTGTGCATGTGTATCGTGAACAAGAGTACATAATATTAAACTGAAGCGTTACCATAAATCCTTATATAAAGTTAGTAAGTTGATAGAAAACGTGAATCGGGAAGCCGGTTTATAGAAAACGTGAATCGGGAAGCCGGTTTATTCAAAATGTGAATCGGGAAGCCGTTGAATTATTAGTTTCCTATTTTCTGTCTTCACTATTAAATAAAGAAGAAGAAGCCTTGCTGTAACTCTGTTCTTTAGAAAGTATATACATTATCTCTCTTAGGAAATTTTCACCAAGCTTTCCCCTTTCACTCCCTACTCTCAAGTTTACCGAAACTAACAATAGTTGATAGGAAATAGTATGATCAAAGTGTGTTCTGTGGGTATACCGTTATATAATATACTTTCCTTTTCACATGGTTTCCTCTTCTTATGATGAAAATTTTGAAAAAATCAAACAACTTTCTCTCTCATGTTTTCTCCAAAGTTATGTTTTATACAAGGAACTATTGGATCGGTGGCAGTGTCACGGGCCTTCAACCAGCCACGCTGTCACGGGGTGTTCCCATGGTCGGGGTGATTGTGATGGATGCTGATTCATATTTACATAAATCTGACAAAGAGACTTCAGTGTTGTGGGTACTCACTTCCCATCTTGAACACTGGCGTTAATTATCGGCATAAGTTCCTTTTTATTAATTTTTTCTTAAGTCCCATAGGGATTCCTGGGCGAATACATCCTATCTATTTTGTTGAATATTAATGGGATAAAATTTGATTTAACAAAATGCAGTACTTTGTAAAGGAAATAAGTGAAAAATTTGTAGATATAGCATTAACAAGTATTTTATAGAGTTATTGACATTTTACTAATACAGGAATATATAACATAACTGCTTGAAAGCATATCCAGAACAAGCCACCCTTGCCCCTCCCTACCCATTTACTGTAACAGTTATACATAAAAGAAACTGACCAACAAATGAGCGCGTTTTAGGCATGAGTTCTTCATCGTTGTTATGGGTAGAACAGAGTCTTCTTTAGGTAGTTTTACCGATGTTAAGAATACCTGTGATGTGGACAGTTAGTTGGTAAATCAACCCTTTGTTTATTTCTGCTCACTGAGCAAGCCCGCCACTCCCTTTGCAGTCACACTATTGTAATAAATAAGATACAGAAGAAGGTGTTGTTTTATTATCCTCGTCATTCCAAAGAAGCAAAGCCAACATGAATTTGTGTGTCTTTTCCTCTGTTGGAAAAGAAATAGCCTTTTTCATTATAGGTAAGACGGAGTGTTATAAATTAATGAACGAGTGTTATAAGGTAATGACCGAGTGTTATGAGGTGATATAAAGTAATGGACGAGTGTTGTAAAGTAGTGACCGGTGAGATAATATTTCTGAAAAGGAAAACAAAATCCCGAAGCAAAAAAAACCACTTTCTCAAAAATGAAATTTAATGTTTAACTATTTAAATACATCCAGAAAAACAAACACCAAAAAGTAACCTTGAAACACCATAAGCAGCGAGTAATTAACATTGGAACACTAAGTAAAATTATTGAGATGTCATTTGGAAAAGTAATTATACTGATATCAAATTGTGGACAACAGATCCCCCTTAATCAGCATGTTGCAGAGTACAGTACATGAAAAAGTTCGCGTCACCATCCGAACGAGTCAGTATCAAAACTAAATGAACTAATGCAGCACCAGCAGTGTTGGGACCCTGAACTACACACACCTGTGAGTATTCTTGGTTATAATGTCCCTTATATGAGGATGTTATACACATTTCCTCAAACATTCCGTTCTTAATGTAATAGTTAAAAAAATAATATGAACAACCAAATGATTCCTTTCTCTCTCTACAGGGGGTCCGGAACCCCCTTTTCATCAGAAAATTTAGTTACTTTTTCTTTAATGTAGCTTTGTACTCAGGCGTTTTTGTATAGTAAAAAGTAATTACTATTGCTCTCAGAACATCCTTCAATATCAACTGAACAGGGCTTCAAAATGGCCTCAAAATGCCCGTAATATTGGTCAGATTAAAAAAAAAATCGGGGAGGGGGAGGCTACATCGCCCCCCTTATAAACCTCCAGCTGGGTAGGCTCGCTATGCTCGCCATGTTCTACCCAACCACAACTTCTTGGACCCCCTCCCCCTCCCCGTTTTGATATTCCTGGATCCGCCCCTGCGCTCTCTCTCCGGGTGAAGATGGCATATTACTGAAGCTCTTGGGGAAGAATGCCATTTTAATACATATGAGAATTATGCTCTTGATCATTATGACAACACAGTAATTTCAATATATTTTACCTGGATATCGATAACATATTTACTAGTATACGTGAATCTGTATTACAGAAAAAAATATCATGTCACTAATACAAAGGCGCTTCTTTTTCACTTGAAAGGCGCAATAACAGTGCCTTCTGCACGGGATACAACAAACAAGTATTGTAATATATAGGCAAAGCAGATGTCCAAGTGACATCTTATCGTCCACCACCAGCTAAATCTCTCCCGGCGGCGGGAGTGTATTGAACTGTTTCACGCCCCTTGTTTACTAAAAGGTTGGATCACTTGTTTTAATATGAATTTACACATCTTAGTGTGGTGGTCTGACCCCCATATACGAGTGACAGACGCGGGGGCTCGGAGCAGTGCACACAGCTCGTCCCCAACTAGGGAATGAGCAGTTATCCAAACTATAGTGACCGGTAATGGCATCAACAACCTCAGTGTAATGAGAGGTGCACCGGGCGGCCAAAACTATGGACTTGATGATGGCACGATAATAAATGTGCCCGGTGGAGTTATGGTCTTCGGTTTGTGCAGTGTGTTGTAGGAATTCGTGGTATAATGTTGTCTAGCACTCAGGATGGATGGAAACTCTAAGGTGGTTTTCTTATATAATATAAGTTATATGATAGACAGTCTGGTGCTGGAGGTGCCGTGTGGTGAGGAGCTGCTCAGTAGAGACGGTCGGTGAGTAGCTTGTTGAAGGAGGTAGATGTGCAGGAGCTTCGTTAGAGAAGATGTTGCCTGTTGCTGGCCTCCTGGTTGAATGAATGCTGGACAGCGTGGAGCTTGCTGGAGGAGGTGTTGCTTGTTCAAGAAGAGAGACCAGAATGAGAGCTGGTTGGTGAGGAAGCTCAGAGAAGGACAGCTGGTGGGTCGCCATGCTCGCTGGCGGGAGCGAGGACCGCCAGGCAGGCGGAGGAGAGGCGAGGGCCGCCAGGCAGCGGCGGAGGAGGAGGTGTTGCTTGTTCAAGAAGAGAGACCAGAATGAATCTCAATGATGATGATGATAATGAGTAAAGTGGCAATGACTTTGCACTGGGAAAGGAGGGAGAAGAGTAAAGGTGGAACGGGAAGAAGAGTGGAGGGTAGATAGAGGTGGGCTGTCCACCTAGGGACGAAATGATTGGGTGGCAGCAGTGAGGCCCGTCCGCTCAGGAAGGAGGTTGAGGAGGAGGGGAGGAGTTAAGCTAGCTAGATATTATTATTGTAGTGAGTGTTAATTTTTATTTGTCCGTGGTAGGTTATTTGTTTATCTCTTTGTAGAGTGGTTCTTGTTCTGTAATGTCAGCATGGAAGCTCTAGGCCACCAGCTTTATTTTAGTTGTTCCTTCTTCTTTAACTTAGAGAATAATGATCCTCCATCTTCAAGTTTGGTCCATACTCTCGTGCTTGGCTGTGTGTACGTATATTCAGTGGTTCGATATCGAATAATTCGTGAAGTTCTTGTATGTGGTGTATGGAGAGACAGAGCTTATATACCCAGCAGCCGTGAGTCCTCTATGAGTCATATTGGGAAAACCCGAGAAAGTCGCCGGTCTTTGGTTCGTTGCTAGGGAAGGTGGTAACATCTAGTGACGCCGCTCGCTTGGTTGCTAGGATACTGTCTCATTGGAATGCGGATACGCAGTTGTAGGGGAGAAGTCCACTACAGTGTAATGAATAGCACCAACCATGACACCTTCAATATGGCACCTTACCAGATGTGCTTTCTAAAGAAGCAAGTGTTTACAAGACCAGGAAGGCGAACAGCTGAAGTTAATGTCTAGAATTTTAGAGCTTGAATGTTATCTCTATGTTAACAAACGTCTACCATTCGAGGTTGACTGCTAGATAAAGGTGAGGGGAAATGGTATGACAAGAAAATGTTACACAAAGCAGAGTTTGAGTTGAGGCGGAACAACCACAAAACAACTGCTCTAGTCACCAGTCAGGTCACACATGGAATATCCCTGTATTAGCCTTTAGTTTTTATATAAATGTCGAGCAATGCATTCAGCTTATATAATCATATCACCCACTGTAACTTTCCACTAGCTATGAGGTGACATGGTCACATCACTTGATAGGTAAGTTTCACCCTTGAGGCGGGACCCTAAAATGCTAGGTCAGGTAACGGAGGCCGGCTACACCGGGGTATTCTCACTCAGCACCTCAAATCAACAGGACGTGTTTAGCAGTGCTATTTAACATAGCCTCCGTCCTCATTTAACACTCATAGCTACAGTGGTTAAGTTACGATGATATACACTTGGAACTGTATATATTATATTTCCCTACTAAATGAAGAAAGGACAGTTGGAATTTTGCTACTAAAAACTCTATATACTTTTACATGTTCCAGCCTCATTAACTCATCAAGAATCAACGCCCAATTCCACTCAACACTATAACAAAAACAAATAAACTCAAAATAATGGCAATTCAAAATGTAGCCCTCAGAAGAGCAGCAAACCTCGGACCACCATATACAACAAGTGTTAGTGACTTACAGTACATACAGAACATACAGGGGCGGCGGCGCTCCCAGGGGTCCTCCCAGGGGTGTTGGTGCCCCCAGGGGCCTCCCAGAAGCGACGGCGAACCCAGGGGTGGCGGCGCTCCCAGGGGCTCTCCCAGATGCTGAGGCGCTACTAGGGGCCCTGCCAAGGGAGGCGGCTCCCTCAGGGGCCCCTACATTAGCGGTGGTGGGAACACCAGGGCCAGCCTGGGTCAGTGGCGCCCCCAGAGGCCATCCCTCGGGAGGTGGCGCCCCCAGAGACCCACCCATGGGCGACGGTGCCCCCAAGGGTCCTCCCAGGGGTGGTGGTGCCCCCAGGGGCCTCCCAGAAGCGACGGCGAACCCAGGGGTGGCAGCGCCCCCAGGGGTCCTCTCTATGGGTGGCAACGTCCCTAGAGGCCCTCTCAAAGGCGCGGTGCCCCCAAAGAACCCTCCCAAGGGCCCTGCCAGGGGCAGCTGCGCTCCCAGGGGCCCTGCCAGGAGTGGCATCGCCCCCAGGTGCACATTCAGGTAGAGCCCCAGTGGCCCTGCCAGGGGCTGTGGCCACCCAGGGGCTATGGCGCTCTCAGGAGCCGTCCCATTGGTTGCAGCACCCCCAGGGACCATCCCAGGGGCGGCAGAGCCCCCCAGAGCCATCCCAGGGGCAGAAGCACCCTAATTCTCCTCCCAAAGGTGGCAGAGCTCCCAGGGGCCTTGCCAGAGGCTGTAGTACTCCCATAGCCTCTTCCAGGGGCTGTGGTGCCCCCAGGGCCCCCTCAGAAGCGGCGGCGCCCTCAAGAGCCCTCCCAGAGGCAACGGCGCCCCCAGGGGCTCTCCCAAAGGTGGCGGAGGGTCTCTAACAGGTATTTTGCCCCCGCCCCCCCCCCCAGGGCATCTTCCAGGGGCTGTGGCGCCCCCAGGGCCCTCCCAAGGTTGTCGGTGCCCCCAGGGCACCTCCCATGGATAGCGGTACTCCCAGGGGCCCTCCCAGGGGCGGGGGCTACACCACGGGGCCTACTAGAGACGTCCCCTCGCAGGATCCCTATAGTTTGCTTGGTTGTGGTGTCGTACATATTGCATACGTCCACCAATCCCTAACTTAACTGTGATTGGTGGACTAAAATGTAACTACACCAAATAACAGCCAATAGGAGAACAGAGCAGTCAGTCAGCACAACACCCCAATTTATGTTTTCCTGTTGGATATTTATTCTCCTTTACATTGTTTATTATGCGATGATACTGGAAATTCGATGGGCGGTGTATTTATATAACGTCATATCTCCCATTTTTCTAAATTGTGCAAAAACAACTGAACCCAGGGGCCGTACAGGGCAGCGCTCCCTGGGGACCTCCCATTTGCCCTGACAGGTGCGGCGCTTCCAGGGGCATTCCCAGGGGCAATGGCGCACCCAGTGCCCCCGGAGCCCTCTCAGGGACAACGGCGCTCTGAGGGGCCCTGCCAGGGGATGTGGAGTCCCAGGAGCCCTGGGAGGGTCGTTGGTGCCCCCAGGGGCCTTCCCAGGGGCGGTGGGGCTTTCAGGTGCCCTCCCAGATGCTGAAGCGCTACTAGTGGCCTTCCCAATGGAGGCAGCGCCCTCAGGGGACCTCTTTAGGTGTTGCTGGGACCCCAGGGATTGCCAGGGTCTTCTGTCTTGTTACGTGCGTTTGTATATATATGTTATGTTTCTTATCATTGGGTTTTGTTTTGTTTGGGGATATATTATATTAGTAATTTTTATTGTTCCCTTCACTTACTAGAATATTCTTTTGTTCTCTTCCAGATGCCATACTACCCTTGGTCAGTTATATGAACAATAAAACCTAAAAAAAGGTCGACTCTAGTCTTCTTTCACCACAGGGGACTAAAATATAAATACATCAAATAACAGCCAATAGGAGAACAGAGCAGTCAGTCAGCACAACACCCCAATTTATGTTTTCCTGTTGGATATTTATTCTCCTTTACATTGTTCATAATTCGATGATACTGGAAATGCCATGGGTGGTTTATTTATTTAACGTCATATCTCCCATTGTTCTAATTATTGCAAAAACAACTGTCCCCAGATGCCCTCCGGCGGCAACGCTCCCATGGGCCCTCCCATTTGCCCTACCAGGTGCGGCGCCCTAAGGGGCCCTCGCAGGAACGTCGGCGCACCCAGTGGCCGTCCCAGGGGCGGCGACGCCCCCAAGGACCCTCCCTAGGGTAGGTGCGGCTACCCGGAGCCCTCTCAGGAGCAGTAACGCCCCCAGGGGCCCTACCAGGGGTTGTTGCAGCCCCAGGGTGTCTTCCAGGGGTTATGGCGCCCCCAGGGCCATCTCAGAAGCGGCGGCGTTCCTCGGGGCCCTCCCAAAGGTGGCGGAGGGTCTCTAACAGGTATTTTGCCCCCGGCCCCCCCCCCAGGGCCTCTTCCAGGGGCTGTGGCGCCCCCAGGGCCCTCCCAAGGTTGTCGGCGCCCCCAGGGGCCCTCCCATGGATAGCGGTACTCCCAGGGGCCCTTCCAGGGGCGGGGGCGACACCACGGGGCCTACTAGAGGCGTCCCCTCGCAGGATCCCTATAGTTTGCTTGGTTGTGGTGTCGTACATATTGCATACGTCCACCAATCCCTTACTTAACTGTGATTGGTGGACTAAAATGTAACTACACCAAATAACAGCCAATAGGAGAACAGAGCAGTCAGTCAGCACAACACCCCAATTTATGTTTTCCTGTTGGATATTTATTCTCCTTTACATTGTTCATAATTCGATGATACTGGAAATGCCATGGGCGGTTTATTTATTTAACGTCATATCTCCCATTGTTCTAAGTATTGCAAAAACAACTGCCCCCAGATGCCCTCCGGGGGCAACGCTCCCATGGGCCCTCCCATTTGCCCTACCAGGTGCGGCGCCCAGGCATTCCCAAATGCGCAACTTGCGTTGTAGCGCCCCCGGAGCCTCTCTAGGGACAACGGCGCTCTGAGGGGCCCTGCCAGGGGATGTGGAGTCCCAGGAGCCCTGGGAGGGTCGTTGGTGCCCCCAGGGGCCTTCCCAGGGGCGGTGGGGCTTTCAGGTGCCCTCCCAGATGCTGAAGCGCTACTAGTGGCCTTCCCAATGGAGGCAGCGCCCTCAGGGGACCTCTTTAGGTGTTGCTGGGACCCCAGGGCTTGCCAGGGTCTTCTGTCTTGTTACGTGCGTTTGTATATATATGTTATCTTTCTTATCATTGGGTTTTGTTTTGTTTGGGGATATATTATATTAGTAATTTTTATTGTTCCCTTCACTTACTAGAATATTCTTTTGTTCTCTTCCAGATGCCATACTACCCTTGGTCAGTTATATGAACAATAAAACCTAAAAAAAGGTCGACTCTAGTCTTCTTTCACCACAGGGGACTAAAATATAAATACATCAAATAACAGCCAATAGGAGAACAGAGCAGTCAGTCAGCACAACACCCCAATTTATGTTTTCCTGTTGGATATTTATTCTCCTTTACATTGTTCATAATTCGATGATACTGGAAATGCCATGGGCGGTTTATTTATTTAACGTCATATCTCCCATTGTTCTAAGTATTGCAAAAGCAACTGCCCCCAGATGCCCTCCGGGGGCAACGTTCCCATGGGCCCTCCCATTTGCCCTACCAGATGCGGCGCCCTAAGGGGCCCTCGCAGGAACGTCGGCGCACCCAGTGGCCGTCCCAGGGGCGGCGACGCCCCCAAGGACCCTCCCTAGGGTAGGTGCGGCTACCCGGAGCCCTCTCAGGAGCAGTAACGCCCCCAGGGGCCCTACCAGGGGTTGTAGCAACCCCAGGGTGTCTTCCAGGGGTTATGGCGCCCCCAGGGCCATCTCAGAAGCGGCGGCGTTCCTCGGGGCCCTCCCAAAGGTGGCGGAGGGTCTCTAACAGGTATTTTGCCCCCGCCCCCCCCCCCCGGGCCTCTTCCAGGGGCTGTGGCGCCCCCAGGGCCCTCCCAAGGTTGTCGGCGCCCCCAGGGGCCCTCCCATGGATAGCGGTACTCCCAGGGGCCCTCCCAGGGGCGGGGGCGACACCACGGGGCCTACTAGAGACGTCCCCTCGCAGGATCCCTATAGTTTGCTTGGTTGTGGTGTCGTACATATTGCATACGTCCACCAATCCCTTACTTAACTGCGATTGGTGGACTAAAATGTAACTACACCAAATAACAGCCAATAGGAGAACAGAGCAGTCAGTCAGCACAACACCCCAATTTATGTTTTCCTGTTGGATATTTATTCTCCTTTACATTGTTTATTATGCGATGATACTGGAAATTCGATGGGCGGTGTATTTATATAACGTCATATCTCCCATTTTTCTAATTTGTGCAAAAACAACTGAACCCAGGGGCCGTACAGGGCAGCGCTCCCTGGGGGCCTCCCATTTGCCCTGACAGGTGCGGCGCTTCCAGGGGCATTCCCAGGGGCAACGGCGCACCCAGTGCCAGTAGCGCCCCCGGAGCCCTCTCAGGGACAACGGCGCTCTGAGGGGCCCTGCCAGGGGATGTGGAGTCCCAGGGCCTGGGAGGGTGGGTGTGGTGCCCCCAGGGCCTTCCCAGGGGCGGTGGGGCTTTCAGGTGCCACTCCCAAATGCTGAAGCATACTTGTGGCCTTCCGAATGGAGGCAGCGCCCATCAGGGACCTCTTTAGGTGTTGCTGGGACCCCAGGGCTTGTGGGGTCTTCTGTCTTATTACGTGCGTTTGTATATATATGTTATGTTTTCTTATCATTGGGTTTTACATTTTTGTTTGGGGATATATTTGTGAGTCATTTCATTCCTTCACTTACTAGAATATTCTTTTCATTCTCTCTTCCAGATGCCATGCTATCTTGGTCAGTTATATGGTAATAAAACCTAAAAAAGGTCGACTCTAGTCTTTCTTACCTGGGGACCTAAAATAAATACATCCAAATAACAGCCAATAGGAGAACAGGGCAGTCAGTCAACACAACACCCCAACTTATGTTTTCCTGTTGGATATTTATTCTCCTTTACATTGTTGATGGTGCGATTATACTGGAAATGCAATGGGCGGTGTTTTTATTCATATCTTCCATTGTTCTAAATGTGCAAAAATAACTGCCACCACGGTCAATCCAGTGATAGTGCCCCCTGGGGCTCTCCCATTTGCCCTACCAGGTCGGCGCCCTAAGGGCCTCTCGCAGAACGTCAGCGCACCCAGTGGCCGTCCCAGAGACGGCGGCGCCCTAAGGACCCTCCTAGGGTAGGTGCGGCTACCGGGAACCCTCTCAGGCTGGGTAACGCCCCCAGGCCCTACCAGCTGTAGCAGCCCCAGGGTGCTTCCAGGGGCTGCGGCGCCCCCAGGGCCATCTCTGGTAGCGGCGGCGTTCCTCGGGTTCCTCCAAAGGTATGGAGGGTCTCTAACAGGTATTTTGCCCCCCTGCCCCCCGTGGCCTCTTCTTCCAGGGCTGTGGCGCCTCAGGGCCTCCTTGTTGGGTTGTCGGCAGCTCCCCAGGGCCCCTCCCATGGATAGCGGTATTCCAGGGCCTCCCAGGGGCGGGGCGACACCACGGGCCTACTTAGAGACGCCCCTCGCAGGATCCCTATAGTTTGCTTGGCTTGTGGTGTCGCAGAGTTGCATACGTCCACCAATCCCTTACTTAACCGTGATTGGTGGACTAAATGTAACTACACCAAATAACAGCCAATAGGAGAACAGAGCAAAATAGTCAGCACAACACCCCAATTCTATGTTTTCCTGTTGGATATTTTATTTCCTTTACATTGTTTATTGGTGCGATGATACTGGAAATTGATGGGCGGTATTTATATAACGTCATATCTCCCATTTTTCTAAATTGTGCAAAACAACTGAACCTAGGGGCCGTACAGGGCAGTGTTCCCTGGGGCCTCTATTTGCCCTGGATGACAGGTGCGGCGCTTCCAGGGCATTCCTAGGGCAACGGCGCACCCAGTGCCAGTAGCGCCCCCCGGAGCCCTCTACAGGACAACGGCGCTCTGAGGGGCCCTGCCAGGGGATGTGGAGTCCCAGGAGCCCTGGGAGGCTGCTGGTACCCCCCCAGGGGCCTTCCCAGGGGCGGTGGCTTCAGGTGCCTCCCAGATGCTGAAAGCGCTACTAGTGGCCTCCCCTAATGAGGCAGCATTCAGGGACCCTTTAGGTGTTGCTGGGACCCCCAGGGCTTGCCAGGGTCTTCTGTCTTGTTACGTATGTTTGTATATGTTATGTTTCTTATCATTGGGTTTTGTTTTGTTTGGGGATATATTATATTAGCCATTTTCATTGTTCCTCTACTCAACTAGAATATTCTTTTGTTCTCTTCCAGATGCCATATACTACCCTTGGTCAGTTATATGAACAATAAACCTAAAAAAGGTCGACTCTAGTCTTCTTTCACCACAGGGGGACTAAAATATAAATACATCAAATAACAGCCAATAGGAGAACAGAGAAGTCAGTCAAAGCACAACACCCTCAATTTATGTTTTCCTGTTGATATTTATTCTCCTACATTGTTCATAATCTGATGATACTGAAATGCCATGGGCGGTTTATTTATTTAACGTCATATCTCCCATTGGTCTAGGTATTGAAAATTAATCACCTAGACACCTCCGGGGCAATGTCCATGGGCCTCCCATTTGTCTTTACCAGGTGCGGCGCCCAAGGCCTCGCAGGAACGTCGAAAAATTCCAGTGGCCGCCCCAGGGGCGGCGTGACGCCCCAAGGACCCTCCTTTAGGTAGGTGCGGTTACCCGGAGCTCCTCTCAGGAGCAGTAACGCCCCAGGCCCTACCAGGCCAGCAGCCCCAGGGTGTCTTCCAGGGGTTATGGAGTGCCTCTAGGCCATCTCAGAAGCGGCGGCGTTCCTCGGGGCCCTCCCAAAGGTGGCGGTGGAGGGTCTCTAACAGGTATTTTGCCCTCAGCCCCCCCCCCAGGGCCTCTTTCCAGGGGCCAAGGCCCCAGGGCCCTCCTGTTGTCGGCGCCCCCCAGGGCCTCCCATGGATAGCGGTACTCCCAGGGCCCTCCCAGGGCGGGGGGGCGACACCACGGGGCCTACTAGACGCCCCTCGCAGGGATCCCTATAGTTTGCTTGGCTGTGGTGTCGCATATTGCATACGCCCACCAATCTCTTTACTTAACTGTGATTGGTGGACTAAAATGTAACTACACCCAAATAACAGCCAATAGGAGAACAGAGCAGCCAGTCAAGCAATAAC